TGGAAGTTAATTGTTTAGTCTGAGAGTAAATTGCATTTTTGCAATACAAGTTATCTACTTCCTTTAAAAAAAAGTCCTTTACATAACTCTATGTTAGCTTCCGGCACCCAATTTAATTTAAATTTAGGTAAACTGAGAGCAGATATAATAAACGCTTTACTATAGGTGATCCAAGATCAAAAATATGTCTAAATCGCTTTTCTAAAGCTTGAATCATTCCAACTACAAATGGATTACAATATATTAAATGCGTAAATTTTATAAGTTTTTATATAGTAATTATAGGTGCTACCAAACCTAAAAAATTTATTTTTTCTCCTTGTAATATATCAAGACTTGTCGCTAAAGGAGACATATCATAATAAATTCTTCTAAGAATTCAATTTCAGTTGGTTTCCATTTTTGGAGCTTTAACTTTTCAAAAAGTGTATTGAGTTATTTTTTACATAAGAATTTTTTTTACGGCATCGTATTGAGAATTCCATCGCGTAATAACAGGCACTGAAAATTTACAATTACATTCCTGAAGGCAAATATCAGATACAACTGTATTACTACGACTAAGCAAGTTCCAAAAAGCATTTAACTTTGTAAAAGCAGAACGATAAATTTTTTCCAATATAGCATTACCAGAATTATCCAAAATTTTTTTACAATCTGTCGTAGCAATAAGATTTAATGTATGGGAACAACATGTTAATTGACGAAGTAAAATAATTTCATTTCCCAATTCATCTATAATAGAATTTTCAATGTCATGTTTATTGCTATCAATATTTATTAACATTTTTCCAAAATCGTTAATTTCAATATCTGAATCCGAATAATCCTCATCGTTCAAAATATCTTTATTTATTTGTAATGTACTCCGAGTTTGATTAAAATTTTCAAGTTTAGTAACAGCAAAGCATCTAAAAGATTTAGCAAAATTTATGGCATTATCAGTCATTAAGTGAGTAACTTTAGATACATTTAAACTGAAATTTGTCAATATGTGATGGATAATTAATGCAATATTTTTGTAAGTATGATTGTAAAGTAATATTCTTTAAGCTAATGTATAAGACTTTCTTTCAAACGTTTCCAAAATAAAGTGGATAGTCATTCCTAAATTTTTGTTACGATACGACCAAATATCAGCAATTAAACACATATAAACTTGCTTTTGTAATAATTCTTTCAATTTAGATGTTTTTTCGTTGTAGGAGTTATTAATCTCAGTGGACAAAGCACTTTTTCCAGGTAAAATTTTTTCAGGTTCATTGTTTCTTGTTAATCCACAGATTAAATTTCTGAATGATGATTTATAGATCGTGTTTAAAGGACGCATTTCTTCGATGAAGTAAGTTAAAATTAAATTATGTATCTGTAATAAAGAAAAGACAAATTACTTATTCTTTATACTTATAAAAAAATAAATGATAAATAAATTTGTTTTTTCAAACAAAAATATTGCTTTAATTATGCATTAGCTTTGGTGTTACCAAACTTGAAAACTCTAATAAAAATCAAGGTATGTTACAAATTAAATAATATTTACTTTCTTCACTGCAGTAGGTGATTTACTTTGCATCATTGATATAATATCTTGTTGCCTTATATTTGTTTTACTATACTTCTTCTTTTCTAATCTTTTTAGTTTTATTTTTTGTATTAAGTAAAGATGTATTTTTTGAAAGAAAAGAAGAACAAAGATAACAGCAAAATTAAAAAATGTTTTCTATTTAAAATCATGCGATTAAAATTCAACACGCAAATAAAAATCAAAATTGAAAGATATAGAGAATATATAACTTACATTATAATGACTGACAAAGTTCCCTGTAGAAGTTATCGAACCACTATAATTTTGGGATAATTTTTACATTGCGCCATTATTTTCTGATTTGTAGAGTTTTTTAACATCTCATAAAATTCTCCTATTAGGATAAATGGTAATTTAGAGGTTGAGGTTGATACAATACAGAGTTTTCATTGTCGTCCACATTATGTTTGAAGTTTTCATTTGTTTTATGTTTTAATCTATAAGAAATATTTTTTTAAACCACAAGACCCAATAAGAACTAAAAATAATTTTTCACAATACTAAAGTTACTACGTAAGTTTAAGTTGTAAGTTAATATTAATGATGACGTGAGTTTACGCAAACAAAGAGCACAGAATAACTTGTAAATCACGCGAACAGTTAAATATTACACAATATTAAAACAATAGACACATTTGGAAACTCCTTTGCAAAATACCGAAAGAGTCTTCCTATGAGCTCGAAACGGATAGTTTCTTGCACTGAATTTAACGATAGGATTAATTAGCGCACACTTTATTATTATAATGCTTGCGACGAACCGGCTTTTACCCGGTGATATTATGCAACGACAAAGAATAACTGATATGAGCGATTTTATAATATTACATACATAAATAACGACAGAGAGCAATTTTACTACACGACAAAAGCCTGAAATTGTAGAACGTTCTTTCGAATACATAAAACTAACGGAAAGCGTACTGATGACTGTAGAGCTTAACTTAGAGAGTTTATAATCAGAATCGCCAACTAACACGTGATTCAAATCGCTCGCTGATTGACTTGGAGCCAAGATGCCAAAAAGGTTAGAGTGATAATGATAGGAAGAAAAAATCGTAGCTTGTGTTACTGTCATTCTACTGTCATTATTTTTAGCTCCGAGTCAATCACGAGCGATTCGAGTCACGTGTCAATTGGCGACTCTCTGATTACAGGTTCTCTAATTCAACCATCACGAATTGATAACCGCTAGAAAACTACTTAACTTACGAAACTTGCGCGAATGTCGCGAACTTGTAGGTTTAAGGCCCAGTTTGCAAAAAGCTTTTGCATTAAGGGAGATTTATTATATTATTCGGCCGCTATATAGAAATTTCCTATAATACTCTTGTACAATCTTAGATAATTTGAAAAAGATAACATTTCTTTTATCTAAGATAAGATAAAGATAATCTGTATTCTTAATAATCTAGATAAAGATAAGATAAAGCCATTCCTTCATAGTTATTTAGATAATTTTATCGAGATAATGGAAAACACTGGCCGGTGACCATCACCGGCGAGTCCCAAGGGTCCCCGGAAGTATGCTGTACGCGAGTCCCGGGGATCCCTGAATCAGGACATGCGTAGGCATTTCCGCTCTGTTACAAAAAAAAAATTGCAGAAGTAAAAATTGCATTTAGTAAAAGATTTCGGAAATGTATGAGTTAGACTGAGACGTGACGCAATTCTAGAATATATTCTAATGGAATATATAGAGGACAATGTTATGAATATATTGGACGAATTACAGGATATATTTATATTTATATTTATATTTATATTTATATTATATTATTTATATTATATTTATATTATTTACAATTATTTTTATTTGTAAAAATAATTTATAAATATAATATTAATAATGTAATATATTATAATATAATGTAGCAGGATTTGGCAAGATTTGCGCTTCTCGGCCGATTTTCGACTTGGCTTCTGCTATCTTAACGAAAATACGGAATTTTATAAAACGTTGACAACCGTTCGATGACGATTTTTTAAGAATTTATGCGTTTTCAAACTTTATAAGAACGCTTACAGAACACTTATAAAATATATTGGATTTTAAACACTTTCAGAATACTTATAAAATATGGTATATATTGTTTGACATGCATTCTAAAAGTCAGTTCGTAGATTTGGTGTACGTGCAACGGGCGGATTGGAGGCGGATTTTTCTTCTAGAAAAATTTCAAACGTTTCTAGAACCAGTTCCAATCGCGACAAGGACACTGGCTTGATCGGAGCGACCTTGCTCTTTGCCGCTAGTAAGATAACGTTGACACTATTAGAGCTGATGACGCGAAGATACACCGGCTGTATACCCTCGTTCGGACGCGTCGGCGAATCCATGCAACTCCACTCTCGTGTCCTTGGCGCCCGTGTTCAACCAGCGGTTTATTCGAAGCTGTTCAAGCCTTGGGAGTTCCTCCAGGACACGACTCCAATGGTAGGCGTCTGCTTGAGCGAACGGGGCGTCCCAGTCCAGCTTTTGCAATCACGCTGATTAAAGTAGGATTTTTACACGGATCACTACTGGTATCAGCCATCCGAGTGGATCAAATAAACGCGCGGTCTCTGAGAGAATCTTCCTCTTGATGAAATTTTCGATGGTGCGGCTTCGAATTGAAAAGGTGAATGTGTTGTCGATTGGGTGCCACTGCAAGCCCAGCGTGACTCTCGTGTTCCCACAACCGCGAATCCGCGAGACAGTCCGCAGGAATACCGACGAGAATTTCAGGAAGATTGGAGGCCCATTTTTTTAGCGGGAATCCGCCCGCCATGCAGAGCTCGGACTGTATCGCAATTGTCTCGTCTTTAGTGTGTGCTTCGATCACGATGTCGTCGAGATAGCAATCGTGTCTCAGTACGGCGGAATCTCGCATTCTTGCGTTCTCGTTGTCGGCGAGCTGACGAAATGTGTGGATAGTGAGAAATGGCGCGAGACAGACCGTATGTCATTGTGTTCAATCAATACTCGCGAATCGGATCGCTGACTGAGTGACGCCAGAAAATGCGTTGATAATCTCTGTCCTCGGGCGTCACAAGAATTTGGCGGTACATTTCAATGTCCGTCACGATCGCGTATCGATGCCACCGCCACCGGGTCAGTACATCGACAAGCGATGGCAACAGGTTAGCGCCGACTAACAGTTGAGAATTTAGTGACTTACCAGATCTTGTAGTGATCTAAGATCCGTTGAATACCACCCTGAGTTTGGTCGACGCACTCGATTCTCGAAGCATTCTATGGTGAGGTAGGTAACATCTCGCTTGTGACTCCGATGACCTTGGCGTTAATTCCATGTGATTCAACTCTTCGTATTCTTTTAGAAAGCGTGGTACAGACATTCGAACCGAACGTCACGTTCGCACTCACGCTCCATGGCGGTGAGCAGTTGCTCAGCTGATTGGCGAGTATCTCCAAGTGCGGTTGTCGATGCGGCAAATGGCAGTCGCACGACGTACCTTCCTGTAGCTGTGCGGTTGTGAGTTCGAACAAAGATTTCCTTGTTGTTCTTCTGGCGTGATGGATACTGAGGTTAAAGGTTTCCTGTTCCCAAAAACGTTGCACGAGCGTGGTCAGCGATGCACTGGAAGAAGCAATGTGGAGTCACTGAGAGATTCTCGCCGCAGACTCCCGAGAAAAGCAGATGCCTCATCCAAGCAGAGTGCACTGAGTGACAGAAGTGTGCGGATCGCCCTTTCGAAGGCCCTCTTGTAAAATGATAGAGCATACTTCCGCGCCGAATAACAGCTCGATGGGATCAGCGACCGAAAATTGCGGATCAGTCAGTGAGACCTTCAATGTGCGGCCATGTAGTTTTGCATGTCGTAGCTGCTCCTTGATAAAGCGAAAGACGTGGCAGGATGAAAGCAACAGCGATAATTCGAGCTCCATTGATCCTGGAGGTGAGACTGAGAGATATCTTTCCACGGCAGGAACCCGAAGGTGAGCCACCGATTCCGAAAATTGAGATTGCCGCACGGGATCGCGGCAGGCGTACGCGCTGGACTAGCGTCTTGGAGATCAAGGACACTTCCAATCCTTGATCGATTAAGATTCTAACCGGGTGTGGATCAGCCCCCGTGGCGATCAGCGATAGTAATTCTCGCGGTAACGAGCAGAATGGCCTTGCATTCGTCATCTTGGCGTACAGCGGTCAACGCGCTTACGTCGGTGGGCTTCGTAGTGACGTACGCTTCGTGTAGGAGCGTCTGATGTCTCGTCTTACACGTAAAGCGTTTTTGTTGATTGGCATTTCGCGATTGGATGCGAACCGAGACAGTTGAAACACATTCGGTGTGTTTCCGCGACGGACTTTCGTTCGAATGCGGATTTCGCTTTGAATTGTTCGCACATCATTACATTATGCCGACCTTTGCACAGAACACAACCGGGAGCGTCGATTACACGTTTAGCGATTTCGTGATTCGCGGTGGATTCCCCAAGACCTTGGTGACTTTTGGTTTTGCGGTCTTGAGAGTCAGAGTTCGCTTGGTAATAAAGTCCATCAAAATATCGTGATCTGGCAAGTCCGTGGAATCGCTCGTGTGAGATTCCTACTTGAGGCGAGTCTTCGAAAAGCTCGATGATGAAATGATTGAAGTTGAAGCCATGCGAATTAATTGGTCTTCCTATGCTTTCTTGACCGGTCACAGCACTGATCGCTGCATTATAAATGCGGCTAAATTCCTCGGCGGTATCGCTTTTTATCTTTTGCACTGCGGTAAACGCAAAAATTGGAGCGCGACAACTCTTTTTTGTTCTCGTAATGCTCGTACAACAGCGCCCATGCACGAGAATAATTATCTCCGATTACGACTAACGGACGTATCAATGCTTCCGCGGATCCTTCTAAGCAATGCTTTAGGTGATGGAACTTCTCTACGTTTGAGATAGACGGATTATTACCGATGATGGACAAGAATATGTCTCGAAACGATGGCCAGTCTTCAAACGCGCCCGAAAATGATCGGATTTTCAGACGCGGCAGCGTCGATTTGGTGGAAAAATCATTTCCCGAGGAGGAGGATTCATTCGGAGGAGCGGTATTTGACTTCTCAGCCTTGAGCTTTGTCAAATAAAATAAATCATTCAACAGGCTATGCTGCACGTAAATATTTTCTGCGGAATCCGCGAATTGAGACGTACTATACTCACTTCCATCGTAGATTTCCTTATAACGTGCTCAAATAAGCTCATGTTGTTTTTCGAACTTCCACAGTTGATCGAGAAGCGCTAAACGGGTTTTGACGGCGTGGAGAGTGATGTTGGCCATCCCTATCTTTTTTAAATTAGCCGCTGATCTGGTCATGCGACCGTGGATGTCACTCTGAGCGGTCAGCAAGGTATTTATTTCATCACTCAGATTTTACTTACTTACGTTCTCTCTTTGTTCTTTTAGATATAACGCGCACTGAACGCGATGATACTCCCGAACAAGCAAATCGGGGAAGGTGAATCCGGCTCGAAGGACCAGCAATGTTCGAAAGCGAATCAAAGCGAGAGCGGCAGCGAGAAAAATTTGAGCGAGAAGGCGTCTGAACTACTGCAGTTCGACTTACGCGAATCTCCGATTATAAGTCGAACGCGATGGTTTTCTGGCGGAGGAGCATCTCACAGGCAGTTGTACTTTTGCGAAGCAATTAAAAAAAGGTCACTTCGAAAAAGGTGAAGAAGAAGCGATCACAACTTGATCCGGCCTTTTATCCCTTTTGCAACACAAAGGCTTTCTTTTTTAATCGCCTATGAAATTCTAGAAAATTATGAAAATTGAGGTGATTCGGTCCCACGATTCGGGTCGCGAGTGACAATCCACTGGTTCTAGAAACGCGATTGGAATCGCCTTGCTCACAAAATTAGTCGCACACATATGTACTACTGTTTTAAGCCTGTTCACAGCTCCAGTCACTCTCTGGTCCGACTCCAAGGTCTCTCTGTACTGGATTCAGGGTCACACCTCTCGACGGAAGACTTATCTGGCCAACCGCGTGTCCATGATACAGGAGGCACTTCCAGAAGGACAATGGCGTCACGTTCCCGGAAAGGATAACCCGGCCGACTGCACCTCGGAGGATAACATCGGGCGAGCTTATAGACTATCCACTCTGGTGGTCAGGCTCCTCTTGGCTGCTCAAGGACAACTCTTTTTGGCCTAGCACACAATCTGAAGCTCCATCGGAGAAATTGCTCGAGCAACGCGTCCATTCTCGCACTATAACGTCAAAGGTTGTTATGGAACCGGAGCTTCTCCTCCGATTCTCCTCACTTCACCGGCTCCTGAGGGTCACAGCGTGGTGTCTACGTTGGCTGCGCCCAAGAAGGATGCCAAAGGCGGAAGGAAGTCCGGAGTCAACCTTGACACCTGAAGAACTCGACGCCGCACTGAGACGATGAATCCAAGCAATCCAGCCACTGCACTATGCGCACGAGATCACTGCCACAAAAAGTCAGCTCCCAAAGAGTCAAATGCCACCTCGCAGCCAGTTTTGGACCTTGAGTCCCTTCATCGATGAACAAGGAGTGCTGAGAATCGAAGGTCGCCTGAAGCACACAGTTCTCTCTCCAGACGAGCATCATGATGATCATTCCACTGCACTCACACCTCACACGCTTCTTGATATCGTCATGTCACCGCCGAACACTCCATGGAGGAGTGCAGTTGATTCTAGGCCTGTTGCGACTAAGATACTGGATTTCTCGAGGGCGAGCTATAACAAAATACTGGCTGCATCAGTGCGTCACATGTACCAAATGGAGAAGAGTCACGCAACAGTCGCCAATGGGTAACCTTCCTCAAGAATTCCTGCTCGTCCATTCCTCAGAATCGGCATCGGACTAGCCGGGCCGATACTCATTCGCACGAATCGAGGACGTGGGCACTGGTCCCACAGGGCATTCATCGCAATCTTTGTGTGTCTCTGCTCTAAAGCGACGCATCTTGAATCGTCGTATAATCGTTTCCGATTATACGACGGACATTCCTGGCCGCACTTCGTCGATTCATATAACGGAGAGGACTATGCTCGTATATCTCCGACTGTGGCACGAACTTCATTGACGCCGACCGACAAATACGAGAGCTTCTTCGTGCATCTTCCGTCAACGGCAACCGCACCGCGTATGCTTCTTGTCACAAAAGGAATCCGATGGCACTTCAACCCACCTTCCGCACCTCACTTCGGAGGCCTCTGAGAAGCAGCAGTAAAATCGATAAAATACTATCTTCAAAAAGTAATCGGCGATACCACGCTCACCTACGAGGAGATGAGCACTCTCTTAGTTCAGCTAGAGGCCTGTCTGAATTCTTGGCTCTTGCTGGCGTTATCTGACGATCCCGACGATCTCTCCGCGCTTACTCCAGAACATCTGCTCATCGGAGCCCCGCTGCTAGCCATTCCAGAACTGTCGCTCACAGAGAAGGCAACGAACTCTCTCTCGTTGGCAGTATCTTCAAAAAATGCGTGATCATTTTTGGGAAAGGTGGTCACGCAAATACCTGCATTCTTTGACCTCATGCTCGAAGTGGTGCAAGGTAAGCACTGCGCCTCAGCTTGGCTCATTGTGCCTCATACTTTCAGAGACATCACCACCAAGTAAATGGCTTCTAGCTCGCATCACAAAACTGCATCCAGGAGAGGACGGTGTGACCCGAGTAGTAACAGTTCGCATAACCTCTTCCGAGTTCATTCGATCTCTAGTCAAATTGATGATATTGCCTGGACCCACTGCCTCGACCACTCTACACACGGACTCGCAAGAGCAGTAAAATCGCACATTATATTAGACCGCGCGATCTTATTCAATGTACTCGCGTCAGTCAAAGCGCATGTAATCGTGGTAATAGTTGTAGAATTAATCTCATCTGCCTTTCGCATCTTTCGATAATGCGAATACAACAAACTGAGCAATTCTTTGTAATAATATATTTATCGCTTAATGCAAAGTACAATATTATTAGGTGTTGGAATTAATTCGTAGCGTTTTTAAATGAAAGAATGTTATTTATTTCACATGAGCATTAAAAAATACATTAATGAAAGTACTTCCCATCACTTGTAAAACGCTACGAATTAATTCCAACACCTAATACATTTTCGACGTTTAGTTTTGAAATTTTTCTCATTACGTTCTCAAATATTGTGCAATTAAGACTATGTATTAGGTGTACAACTTTGCTTCCGCTGTTTTTTTTCCGAAATTCGAGGCTTTATTGTAAAAAACTGGTTATATACAGTGCGACAAATATGTTCCCGGACAGGGCCTGAAAATCATAATTGAAACAACAATATGCATATTTTTTGCTTTTTTTATTTAAAATATTCTCCTCTGGCTTCAATACACTTGTTACAGCGATTCAATAGTGATTCAAATGCATTCTAGCTCAGTTTGCGGAATTGCCTCTAGTGCCTGTGTAGAAGCTGATTGGATGGTCGGAATGTCATTAAAAAAGCGTCCTTTCAATTTCAATTTCAATTTTGGGAATAATGAGAAGTCGCAGAGGGCCAAATCAGGTGAATACGGTGGATGGTTTAACACAGAGACACGATTTCGAGCCAAACATT